TCGAAGCAGAAAAGAAATGAACAGACAAACATATAAAAAATTACGTTAGAAACACACGCAAGAAAAGCTATAGCGCGAAATGAGAACAACGTATTCTTTACACTCTTCGCCTCGAATATCGTGTACATTAGCGAGTTTCGAAAAGCAAGGGCACGTGAGTGAAGCCTGTATATGTTGTATATATAGAATTCTCTCTCAACGAAAGGCCAGCTGTGTGAGAGTGCAGATTGCGCGCGTGTCACGTGACCCCGCTGCTTGTTACGCGTCGGCTCATTAGCGCAAGCAAGCAGGCGCACGAAGAAGAGCTGCTAATTAGGCGAAGAAAAAGACCGGGGCAGCATCGACGCATATATAGAGGTCGCTCTGGCGAACATTGAGCGAGGCGATATGCCACTCTTTCGGAATAACCGATGGTGATCACACAGGAAAGAGGGACATGGCCGGTTCGAGCGCGTTGCGAAGCACGCACGCACTGGTACTTGTGTTTGAAGCACGGTTGAGAGCGCCGTAATATATAGCATATACAGCGCATGGTCACAGTTACGTGATATTATATCATATTTATCGGGCTTTAAAGCCGAAAAAATCACCACGCATAATGTACAACAACCTCGGAAGCGAATGGCACTTCGAGATGGGTAATAGTGTCCTTGAAGTTGTAAAAGACTACGTCTACCTAGGACAAGTAATAACCACGGAAACAACCCCGAACTTGAAGTAATTAGAAGAGAAAGAATGGGGTGGAGCACATTCGGCACGCACTCTGAAATCATGACTGGTGGATTGCCACTATCCCTCAACAGCAAGGTATAACAGCTGCATCTTTTCGGTACTTACCTACGGAGCAGAAACTTGGAGGCTTACAAAGAGGGTTCAGCTTAAATTAAAGCCAATGAAGCGAGTCATGGAACGAAAATAGATAGGTTTAACCTTATGAGACAGGAAGAGAAAAGGCTGTGTCAGGGAACAAACCGATGTCAAGGATATCATAGTTGAAATCAAGAAGAAGAAATGGACATGGGCCGGGCATGTAGCGCATACGCGGGATAAACCCTGGTTATAAAGGGTAACTGTCTGCATTACCGGAGAAGTAAAGCCTGTTAGAGCGAGACACAAAGTTAAGTGGTCATCTGAGCTTCGGAAGCTTTCAGGTGGCAGCAGCAAGCACAAAACAGGGTTGACTGGCGGACATGGGAGAATCCTTTGTACGGAAGTGGGCGTAGTCAGGCTGATTGACGATTATGATGCTGATGAACCACAGGCCACCTAAATTTCTGGGGCCTTCCTTTGCGGCGTCTCTCGTGATCGTATCGTAGTTTTGTACGTTAACCTAATAATTAATATTATATCCATTGAATTGCGTCCGAGCGACCACGAGAATGTAAACACATGTAGCTTCTATATTCAGACAGCTGAACAAAAGTTGTCAATTTCATAACCAAGTGGTAGGTTACCACGCTATACGGATGCGATAGAAACGTAATTGGCGGTATTGACGAGCCACGTACCACGCTGGACAGCCGGTACTCGATCAGGTTGGCGTGCACGAGCGCCATAGGTAGCGAGCACACCGGGAGGAGCAAGCCTGTAGAGCAGGCGACGGTCACGGGCACGCCGTAATACAGCGGGTTCACCAGCGTGGACTCGGCCTGCGCCGTTTTGTAAATGTGCTCGCTAGATACGACACATGCGTCCGATACCGAAGAGCGGGAAAAGGCTCGAAGGGTTTCTTGCGCATTCGGCTAACACAACTCAAATCTGAAAGCAATCTTTTCTTCTCCATCAATGTTCTGTTTTTTCCTTGACCCCCTTAGGAGGCTACAGATGAACGAAATTGGTGATGTCACCATGATGTAACGTGACGTCACATACTAAAAAGCTGCGACCTCCAATGATAGCTTTCTGAAGTTAAAGTGTTTCCACACTGCCTCCAAACTCAGAGGTATTACATGCTCCTCGCCTGGTTTCGCATATATATATATATATATATATATTATAATATATATATATATATATATATATATATTATATATATATATATATATATTGATCACCCAGCCTGTCATGTTGTGATGTGATGACATCAGCATGTGACGTCCCTTAACATCATCGTGAATTCAATTTGTCGATATGTACCGTCACGGTGACGTGTCACCACTTTTGTCAATTTGTGAAACACCTTGGTGACGTCACAAACTTTGTTGGTCTGTAACGCCATGCTAACATTACCATATTTGCTAGTATGTAACGTCATAGTGACGTCACCAATTTCTTTGGTATGTAACTAGCAACGGCACATGGTGCCGTTGTCACACGATGCTCATTTTTTAATAGCTCGTGTTGGCACCGAAAGTCAATTTTCGCGTTTGAGGAGGCATCTAATGTTTTCGCCCGAATAATAACGATGCATTCAGCTCCACGGACGATTTAGAGAAAACAACCCCCGATAATTCGTTCCACGTTGAAGGCAGTGTTTATAGGTTAAATCCCGGAATAGGCGAGATTAGATCACCATAAAAAACACTAACTTGTTTTCATAGGTAAGCAATTAAACATTAACTGTCATTTTCCATTTGTATTTCAACATAACGAATGTGTATTCAGCGGGTGGCGAACGTCATTTATGCTTATCCATCATTTAACGAACGTTTTGCAAAATGTCGCAGAATTAAGCAGTTCACCAGCATATGCGAGAAGGTATGGCAATTTTTGGACATAAACGTATTTCGTACTCCATTAAAGAATCTGGATAGAAGAAACCCTGGAAGGCAGCATCCTCGAGATCATCACTTCAGTAGAGACACCGAGGAAGGTAACCCTTCGTTTTAACAGTCGACTAAACATGACCTCTGGTTCTCGTAAAAGAACAATCAGTAATAGCTGAGATCATTACTCGATAAGCCTCGGCTAATGCAAGGTATACACTGGTTTTATCACTGCCCCCATCACAAAGAATGTGCACTGCTTAAGTTTTTCGATGTGGATTTCAACATGATTTTCCCAAAGTACCCAAGTTCAAAGTCAGACAACGTATAAAGTGCACTGAACTGAAAGCTCATTTCTGCGCAGCGAATATTTGGAGGATGGGGAGGGGCTCACAAGGTCGCAGGCGATGGGGATGAGCACGGTGGCTGCGGCGGTGTCGTTGTTTACCTCGGTGAGCACCGTGGTGATGAGCATGAGCACGAGCTGCACGAACACCGGTGCCAGTGGCGCATAACCATCATCGCGCTGGACAGCCACGCCAGCAGACCGGACTCCTGCGCGAGACACATCAGCGTCGGACAGAACTGAACTGTGGTCGAGAATAAAGTAGGAACTGTCCACCCGCACATTGTTCAGGCTTAGCTTCTGGTACAAGTAAACAATATGGTCGAACCATTTGAACTAAAAGGACCATCTCTGCTCAAGCACTCTTCGGTAAAGGAGAAGGACCGCTTCGGTGGCTCAATGATTAGATACTCAACCAAAGCAGAACACCTCGTTTGCAGTTACGGAAAGTATGTATGACGCTTATATGACGCTCTTACACGTGCAACTGGGTATTTCGAAGGCCTCGATGTAAAGACAAAATATGGGAATGAAGTGGGCCAGTTCGCCTAGACGGTCTCTTTACTTGCAAAATGGCCTTTCATCTCGGCTCTATATCTCATTGGTAATTTGGAAACGGACATTGCCTTGCATAAATAGCCCACATCAAGCATCACTATTTTCAATCCTAAGTTATTTCACGTCAAAAACAGTTTATCCAATGTTGTGCGTGCGTGCGTGTGCGTGTGTGTGTGTGTGTGGTGTGTGTGTGTGGTGTGTGTGTGTGTGCGTGCGTGTGCGTGTGCGTGTGCGTGTGTGTGTGTGTGTGTGTGTGGTGTGGTGTGTGTGTGTGTGTGTGTGTGGTGTGTGTGGTGTGTGTGTGTGTGGTGTGTGTGTGTGTGTGTGTGTGGTGTGTGTGTGTGTGTGTGTGTGGTGTGTGTGTGTGTGTGGTGTGTGTGTGTGTGACGCCACATAACATCATCGTGACTTCCATTTCGTTGATAATTAACGTCGTGGTTACGTCACCTATATTGTCTAACTCTACCGTCACGGTGACGTGTCACCAATTTTCTCAATTTTCGAAACGCCTTGGTAACGTCACGAGTTTTGTCGGTCTGTAAATTCATGCTAACGTCATCATATTTGCTGGTATGTAACGACTTAGGAGCGTCGCCAATTTCTTTGGTCCGTAACTAGAGACACCACATGGTGACGTCGTCACGGTGACGTGTCACCAATTTTCTCAATTTTTGAAACGCCTTGGTGACGTCACAAATTAAGTCGGTCTGCAACTCCATGATAACGTCATCAGATTTGCTGGTATGTAACGACATAGCGACGTCACCAATTTTGGTCTGTAACTAGCGACGCCACATGCTGACGTCGTCACTCGATGCTCATTTTTTGCATCACTCGTGTTTACACCGAATGTCGATTTTCGCGTTTGAGGAGGCATCTAATGTTTTCGCCCGAATAATAACGATGAATTCAGCTCCACAGAAAATTGGAGAAAACAACCCTCGATAATTCGTTCCACGTTGAAGGCAGTGTCTATAGATTAAATCACTGAATAGTCGAGATTAGATCACCATAGAGAACACTAACTTGTTTTTTATAGGTAAACAATTAAACATTAACTGTCATTTTCCATTTGTATTTCAACATAAGGATTGTATATTCAGCGGGTGGTGAACATCATTTAACGAACGTCTAGCAAAATGTTGCAGGATTAAGCAGTTAACCAGCAATATGCGAGAAGGTATGGCAATTTTTGGACATAAACGTATTTCGTATTCCATTAAAAAATGTGGATAGAAGAAACCCTGGAAGGCAGCATCCTCGAGATCATCATTTCAGTAGAGACACCGAGGAAGGTGACCCTTCGTTTTAACAGTCGACTAAACATGACCTCTGGTTCTCGTAAAAGAACAATCAGTAATAGCTGAGATCATTACTCAATAAGCCTCGGCTAATGCAAGGTATACACTGGTTTTATCACTGCACCCATCACAAAGAATGTGCACTGCTTAAGCTTTTCGATGTCTATTTCAACACGATTTCTCAAAAGTATCCAAGTTCAAAGTCAGACAACGTATAAAGTGCACCGAACTGAAAGCTCATCTCTGCGCAGCAAATATTTGGAGGATGGGGACAGGCTCACAAGGTCGCAGGCGATGGGGATGAGCACGGTGGCTGCGGCGGTGTCGTTGTTTACCTCGGTGAGTACCGTGGTGATGAGCATGAGCACGAGCTGCACGAACACCGGGTGCCAGTGGCGCATAACCATCATCGCGCTGGACAGCCACGCCAGCAGACCGGACTCCTGCGCGAGACACATCAGCGTCGGTCAGAACTAAACTGTGGTCGAGAATAAAGTAGGAACTGTCCGCACGCACATTGTTCAGGCTTAGCTTCCGGTACAAGTAAACAATATGGTCGAACCATTTGAACTAAAAGGACCATCTCTGCTCAAGCACTCTTCGGTAAAGGAGAAGGACCGCTTCGGTGGCTCACTGATTAGATACTCAACCAAAGCAGAACACCTCGTTTGCAGTTACGGAAAGTATGTATCACGCTTATATGACGCTTTTACACGTGCAACTGGGTATTTCGAAGGCATCGATGTAAAGAGAAAATATGGGAATGAAGTGGGCCGGTTCGCCTAGACGGTCTCTTTTTTGCAAAATGGCCTTTCATCTCGGCTCTATATCTCATTGGTAATTTGGAAACGAACATTGCCTTGCACACATAACCCACATCACGCATCGCTCTATTCAATCATAAGTTATTTCATGTCAAAAATAGTTTATCCAATGTTTTTTGTGCCACCGGCAACGGCTACGTCCACAAAAACCAGGGTGATCGGAGTTATGATATCGGCGCGAAACAAACCTGTGATGGTAGCCTGCCATACAGTGGCACCCCCGCATTCGCACCATGTGTCCAATACTAAATTCATGCCATCCCAACGTTGTGCCTCCCCGCCACGACAGTTGCCACAAGTACGGTGTGAAGCAGATGAAGCAGACGATCGAACAAGAGACGTGCGGGTGAAGGTACGTTGCGACAACTTTTTTTATGCACATACTACCGCCTGGTGGCACTGCTTATGCTATGTCGTGACGTCAGGGTACAGTAGAAACAGAAACACTTTCGAAAGCATGCTGTAATAATTTTTTTAGGGCGCACTTGCTTTACTGGTACCTTTTCAACGCTCTCGGGTGGTTGGCCTATCATTTGACAAACAAAAAAAAACGATAAGTGAGAAATAACGTGACAGTAACCTTAATTAAATTCTAAACTTCAGAGCACGAATCAGGTATGAAACTTACAACAACGCACCGACACACAGGCGCTTCTACTGTTAGTGTATATAGTGTTCTTGAAATATCAAAAACTCCCATATCAAAAAGCATGGTGGTTAGGGCTAGTTGGTATGACATGACGATTGTTATAGCGCGAGAGCCGAACGACGACGAAGGGACAAGAGAAGACTTCTCTTGTCTTCTCTTGTCCCTTCGTCGTCGTCCTGCTCTCTCGCTATAACAATCGTCCCGTATCAAATTGACACTCAAATTCAGGACCAAATTAACGCTAGGGCTATTGCTAAGACAATTCGCCACATGGTTTTTCCTCTCTTTCCTTGTGCTGCCTTTGTGGTGGGCAATGATGGTCGAATTTTGGCCGAGTTTTCCAAAGATGAAGCGTTATGGCAGTCAATGCGTTTAAGACATATCTTTCTTATGCATGGAAAGGCAAGCACCCTCGGCGACGCAATGGTTTGAGTGGCGTTGCCTGTTCGACAGTTCTCTATCACTTGAAGCTTGAATCCTTCCATTTAACTCGAGTATCGTTCGGACATAGACAAGAAAGACGTAGGCGAAAGAGTGTTTGCAGGGCAGGGATGGAGCGCTTACCTTGATGGCACCAGCTACGCACAGCCCACCTCCGTAAGTGATGAACGCGCTCCAGGGCACCTTCCGCTGCACCAGGTTCCACTCTAGCACGTACTCGCTGAATAGCCGCTCGCACGGCTGCTGGGGCGTCGCGAAGAACACCAGCACCAATATGAACACGAGTGTCGTGTCTTGGAGGCCCCTGGAATTCGTTCGAAGCGCATGTCTTAAGGATTGTGTTTGCTTTGAGGGAGCAGTGCTTTTGTATTGCTCAGGCATGGCTGCTACGTGGCCGTAGAATATGTTAATACGACGTTCCGCTATGTGTACCAAAGAAGACTTCAACTTCAAATGTACCGAGTATTTTCTATTTTAGGGGTGAAAATATTTAATATGAGAACAAGATGTATACAAGCTGCTAATACACCTACAGACAATGCCAATATAGTTTAAAGAATTTGGGTCCTATGTTAGTTGAGGTTCCTTGCAGAGAAATCAAACCAACTCGATTCAAGGAAAAGTCAACACCTATAGTTACGTTATCCTAAAACGAAAAAAAACGTGAACGAAAATCTCTACAGTCCGTGTAAGAGGTATTCAGCTACAATTTCGACCCACAAAGATGGATTCTGTATAATTTGCAATTATATTGCTTGAGAACATTCATCACGCAAGAATAATCAGAGATTACTTCACAAATTCACATCTCTCTTCAAGATAAGTTCAATACGCTAGTTTGAAATACATCTCTTTTTGTTATTGGCCGGTTCCGGGCAATGGCACCCTGGACTTAGTACGCCATAGTCTCGACAAAAAAGAATTTTACTAAACATAGGCTCTGAAGAATGCGTCAAATCACATTACATATATTTCCATGCATTCCTGGAGAATACCTAAACAGGTATGGTTCTTTCGGATATAAACGTGAGCATTTATGGCTAAATGATGCACGTACTTTCATTCCTTGGGCCTACAGCTCATGTCACATTGGCGTAATTTTTACCGGAACACCGACATTCCAGCCAATATCACTTTCAGCGGCTAGATTTGAAGGGACATGACAATAGTATTAGGAACAATTTCTCATAGTAGTCGTTATAATAAAGAAAGTGATGCCACGATTTCAAATCAGGAAGGCCTATCATAGGAATTTCTACGCAGCCAGTTCGAGTTCCAACTGCAAGCCAACGTAGACTGATGAAAGGCATAGTAGAAGACTCTTTTCTTAAGCTGAAGCAAGCCGTTAGTTGTTATCGTTCGGAGAGAAACTGCAATATCCTATAAAAAAGCGACGTCACGCCACATCTACATATGTGTGACACATCCACACAAACCTTCTGCTTTAACATGACTTTGGTTTGATTATAGTGTCAAGTACATGAACAACTTTATTATTTAGCCATCAAAAATGAATGCGAGGTAATTCTTTCTTACACCAGTCCAAATTCGTCGGGCAAAGTGTACGGTATGGCAAACTGGGACCGGAACAGCAGCGTCATGAAAAGCCCAAGAAGGCAGCTCATGACGAAGAACTCCAGCTTGCTGCACAAAAAAAAACGGTACGTGGATTGAAACCAACGAGAGAAGAAGATCCTTAAACAATGATTCAACTAAAGCTGCCGCAAAGCGCAAGCCGCAGTTTATGTGCAAGCTATCGTGTAGAATAGGCCAGCTGGATGAGATGTCGATGCATTTTTTACAACGCCCTGTGCATGTCCCTAGTTTCATCTCGGGCTATTCTGTTATCTTTTTAGTACCTGATTCAAGTTTGAATACTTATGAAAGGCAATGGTACACTTTTTAAGGGTAGCCGTAATTAAAGTACATGTAATCACTTGGAACGTCTCTTGCAGGCGCGTTAGCGTCTATGTTGCCTAAAAAAAACGACTGCCATAGGAAATATTGCCGGGCGAACGTCGCGTATATAAGCTGCGTCCTCCGAAATTTTTTGAGTCAGTACATCCGTGAATTACGACACACAAAAACAACTCCCACACAGGTCACAGAAGAGGTTATTCACATATGAACAGTGCAAAAAAAAGTGTGTACCCGTCCAGTCCAAGTCAGAAATGTGCAACAGTACTCGCAGTACACGATAGTACACAGTGACATTGCACTGTTTTTTTACCCACTGACACACAAAACACACGCACACATACACAAACACTTATACACAAGCACGCACGCATCAACTCGAAAGCGTGTTGCACCTGAAGTTTCCGAGAGCGCGATATTTTTCTTCCAGGATCTTCGCTATGCTCTCCTTTGTTTCCTCGTCTTCCTCGCAGTCACTGCGCCGAGAAGCAAATAAAACGTAAGGTTGCGTCATCTACTCATTAAATGTTAAAATAAAGATCGCAAAATTGTATAAAGAAACCACTTTTTAAAGGACTACCGGGAGTATACTATAGGGATCTCTTGTAGCGCTCGGTCAGTAGATCGTATTCTGTATACCCCGCATTCATAGTAATTATGATGATCGGGACAACATTGCTATTTAGCATTTCAGTGCCTTTTGATGGTTCTATTCAAACATAGTGCTTTGCTCAGCATGAGGTCGCTGGTTGCAATCCCCATCACTATGGCTGCGTTACTTTTCTGGGCCAAGTTGTGGAACGCGTTGTGCGAGAATCACGGTGCACTCCACCAATGTAAATATGTACTACGGCACTGTGCACCGACTGAAGAACATTGGTCGCAATGGTGCTTCGAAATGTGAGCTTCTGTTTAATTCCCATCTTTTAGGATAACACCATTTTCCCACAATGACATCAAACGCACTCACTATTGCTTGAGGAACACGACGAACACGGCCACCCAGCAGGCCAAGATTCCAGCGGCTGAGATGGGTAGGCAGATGACAATCCACGAAGACATGCTTAGCCGGTCGAACGAGTAGCGCCTGTCAGGGCAAAAGAACGAAGTTATACCGATGACGGTGTCAATGCTTTATAATGACGAAGCTAAGCCAGTTGGAACAGATTCATTATAAGAGACTGTAAACAAGCAAGCATTGACAAGAGAGGAAAGACACAAAAAATATAAATGCCAACTAAATAAAAAAATGGCACACTACGGCGAAAAGGAAATTGGCAGATCCCACATACAGTGGGAATCGATTATATGCGAAGCACGAATGGGAAATGTTGATGTGCCACATTAAAATAGGCGCAACGTTACGAGGTGGAGGTAAATGATGGCGTGCATGTCTTCCGTGTCATGATTATCATGTGTGGATGTGTCGTTTACATTCGTCATGTCTTCACGTCAATTGACACCAAATTCAGTACATGTGGAGCTATAGTGAAACTGCCGCAAGCACGCTACGAGCGTGGTATGTTGATATGTTCTTACATAACACTCGTGTTAGGATTATCATGTTTGCACCAGTCATATACTTTGTCATCCATTGACGCCACGTAACACCAAATTTGGCATATATGGAGCTAGCAAAACGTGCGCGAGCGCATCATGAAGGGTCCATGAAGGGTCCAATGTAGTGTTGACGTGCGTGCACGCTGCGCACAGTGACACTATATATACGTTAGCAAAACGCGAGCACTCTACAGCCTGACGCCCGGCGCGACCAGCGTCCGTCGGCGCGGCCTCACGGCAACCAGCGCAAAACGCGCCATGCTGCATTTCGCGCCGGTGTGTTCCCCAGACAACACTGCGTCTCCCTCTTTTCGTGACGGAGAGACTACGGACGCACTGAAATGCACATGCGTCAAAGCAAAACAGAGCGACGCGCGCCTGCGAGTATATGGCAGGGCCAGCACCTGGCATGGCAACGCCGTCGTGACGCCACGAGATGAACGCCGGCGAGCACGAGCCCTGCGTCACGTCGAAATGTATTGGCGCCTTGACTGTGGCATGTAGTCATGTTCTCACATGACACTCATTTCGTGATTATCATGTTTGCACCAGTCACATAGCTTCGTCATCCATTGGCGTCACGTATTACCACATTTGGCACAAGTTAGGCTAGCGAAACGGCCGCGAGCGCTTCATCAGTGTCGCATGTGATCATGATGTTGCGGACGGACGGGCGGATGGACGGATGGATGAATGGATGGATGGATGGATGGATGGATGGATGGATGGATGGATGGATGAATGGTGATGGATGGATGGATGGATGATGGATGGATGGATGGATGGATGGGATGGAGGATGGATGGATGGACGGACGGACGGACGGACGGACGGACGGACGGACGGATGGACGGACGGACGGAGGAGGGACGGGGGTGGCGGAGATGGATGGATGGATGGATGGATGGATGGATGGATGATGGATGGATGGACGGATGGACGGATGGACGGATGTACGCATGATAGATAGATAGATAGATAGATAGATAGATAGATAGATAGATAGATAGATAGATAGATAGATAGATAGATAGATAGATAGATAGATAGATAGATAGATAGATAGATAGATAGATAGATAGATAGATAGATAGATAGATAAATAGATAGATAGATAGATAGATAGATAGATAGATAGATAGATAGATAGATAGATAGATAGATAGATAGATAGATAGATAGATAGATAGATAGATAGATAGTGATAGATAGATAGATAGATAGATAGATAGATAGATAGATAGAGAGATAGATAGATAGATAGATAGATACGCTCAAAGTCGGCTGAAGTTCGCTCACAAATGCTTCACATTTAAAATTACAAGGCAGTGCAAGATAGACACATAATACCATCTGGAAACAGCCCTCCGTAACTTCAAACATCATTGTGTTTGGAACGTAAAACCGCAAGAACAGCTCCTCAAAAAAGATTAGCGTCTAAAGAAAGAGGGAAACAATCTATTCAATTGTGTCTTTATTTCCCACAAGTCGTAATTGCCAAAATAAACGTCAAACCGAAAGTTCAAAAGGACCACTATAACTACATAAGTCCAAAACACACGGCCGTCAACTTAGAACAACATGTCGCAAATAAAGCTGCACAAACCACGTTTGCGCTGGCCGCTGTTTATGCCACAACGTCATCCCAGGGACGGGGCGCATCTTCCACAGCCGGCGAACCGCCTTCCTTCAGACTGCCTCTGTTCTACGCATGCAAGTAGTGCTCTTCCTCGACCTGCACGATCCAAGTGCGAACATCGTAGGTGCCGGCCCGGTAGGACTTGTGACCCTCCCGGAGGTAGCAGTCTCCGTCAGAAGTCGTGTACACGACACGGTACACACCACGCACCCACACTTCGACCACGCAGTGATGCGCCTCGTCCAACTTGTCTGCCGCGTGCTGCAGCGCAGGCACGAAATCGGCGCCGAAACTCGTGAAGGTCAGCTGCGGCCGCAGGCTGCCCACCATCAAGTTGATTCCACGTCGCAGGGCGTCCCGTTCCTCGTGGTTCAACCTAACTCCACGCACAAAGCCCTCTGGGCTAATGCCGTAGTAGATGAAGCACGGCTTCCACATGTTCAGGAACGAGCAGGCCACATTAGCCAGAGTGCGCGCCGACGCGTTCTTCAGGCTACCTACAGACTGAAGCTCGTGCGCATCGTCCGAACGAAGGGGCACCAGCGTGCCGCGGATGTAGAAACGACCGTAAGGCACCGCGGTGGCCGCTGCGCCAGCTTTGCATGCTGAAAAAGGCACCACGTTGGCCATCGGCTTGGGAATTTCGGTCGGCAAAGGACGACTTTCCGCTTCCGCTGCTTCCGCCGACTGCAGGGACTCTCTCATCGGATAGGAGCTCAGAGCGGTCGTTTTATTCAACATCTTGGGGGTCATGGCCACTAGCTTGACTTGAGCCGGGGGCGCAGTCTCTCTATCGTGCACGCGCTGAGGGCAACGGTGCGCTCCAGAGCTTGTCACTTGGTTCTGACGAGAACCACCATAACACTGCTGACTGTTGCAGTTCTCAGGCTGTCGTTGCTGCTGGTGGTTCTGGCGCTGCCGCTGTGGACTGTTATGCCCTGGTGGGACACCGAAGATGGCGCGTAGGCAACGCTTGACGTCCTGGAGAACGGTGCAAGTCGGAGGCAGGCTTTTGTGGAGCCTCACGACGACCGCAAGCAAATCCGTCTCGGCGAGTTCCAGACGCAGCTGTTCATTGCGAAACAACATGAACTGTAGCAGGTTCAGCAAGGCTCGCATTTCTTCCGTCACCTTCGCGATGCTGCTGTCGTCGCCAACCGGGAAATGACTGCGCGTAAAGTCAAGACGTAAGAGGGCCTTTTTGACGTAGGCAGCCCTGGCAACGGCCTGTCGGCCATTTTGCCGACAGCAAATCTTCATGAGGCACTTTGCAGCGGTCATCCTGGTAATGTAATCGGAGCAGAAGAGTAGGTCGAAGAGGACGTCGGCCATTCCAAACGCCGTCACTTTTGTCACTATGATTGTGTCAAGGGTTCCCTCATGGGTGCCGTGATCAGCCACAACTCGGAGCACCTTCACGCACTCCCGCAAGAGCTTCGGGAAAGGCACGGCTTCCACGTCCTGGAGTACGGCGAGGGCGACAGTCGGCGGCAGGCTCCTCAGCGACGGCGCGACGTTGATCAAGTCTTCCCAGCCAACGTTGTAGAAGTGGCCATGGTCGATGGACCATACTGAGGCAACGTCCTCGATCACTTTGACAACGAGCACTCTTTGGACGCATTCGCTTGACAGCACAAGACCGACGACGTCGCCAATGTTAGGAGGTTCTCGTCGAGGTTCGTGATTTGGCGACGCCTGGTTGCATTGGGCCAAGAAAACGTCTATGGCGGCGGCGTCTTCCTTAAGCTTCAAACTCTCGTACACCATCACGTGTCGAGCATCCAGGTAGTCCGCTATAATCAGCGAGTTGGCCTCAGTGGAACGGTCAGCGTTCGAGTCAAGCACCTGCTGACCGCGCTTCGTCGCCGTTTCGAGAAAAGCGCCACAGCCATCGAATCCGGCGCGATCGGTACAACGATTTCCCCGGAGTTTGACGGTGTAGGTAATCTTCTTGATGGTACTGCCAGCGGCGCCGAAGAAGCGTTTCCACAACTTCTCGCTCTGCTCGTCCTCCAGCAAAGACGCGGTGCCTATGATCTCGCTGGACGCGGCCGACTCGTAGTACGCGCGCATCTCTCGCGAGCTGACGGTACAAATGCGAGTCGCGTCTTGTGAATCAAGTTTGCACAGCTGCACCAGGAGTTTCAAAAAAGTGGTGTTGCTGAGTGCCTTTCTAAGGCCCTTTTTATTATTTCCACCGATGGCTTCCCGAATTTTGGCGAGCGTGCGCTGGGCCGAAATGCAGGCGACACAAACGTAGACGCCATGGGCGTCGCACTCACGTTCTACGTGCAAGGTGGTGAATTGACGCACAAACGTGCGGGTCATCTCATGGATGGTCTTGAACTTGAGAATATCTGAAGAGGCCTGCCGCGGTTTCACGGGGTAATGCTTTCGAACAGCACCAGATGACTTGTCGTCGGGGTAGCAGCTGGAATCGTCGATGCATAGCGAGGGTCGGAGGTGATCTTCGGCACGGAGAGCTTCTTCATCGGTTGAAGATTCATCCGAACAAGAACAGTCCTCACATGACGAGCGCATGGAACCCGCTGAGCGACGGTCGTTCTGCTGTTGCTCGAGTTGAGCGTCTTCAACGTTAGCGTCGACGTTTCCAGCCGCGACTTTAACTCGATGTCCAGCGATTAACGCCGCGTTTGTGGCCGTCTCGTCGCCACCATTTGCGATGCTGCGAGGCTGCTGCTCACCCGTGCAAAGAGCGTCGAAAAAAGGTCGCTGAGGCGTCCATCGCTGTGCCAAGTATTTGCTCCAATTACTCCAAGCTTGCGAATGACCCACGTCGATGCAACTACACGGGTTATTCTGCGAAAACCGGCGTCTATGCGCGTTTCACACAAAGAAAGAA